ATATGCATTTGGTGGGGAGTCCTTAAAGGTGTGGACTTTACACACAGCCTTAGAAGTGATGACTGCAGCTTGTGTTCCCAGTTAAGAATCAACCAATATCAATAAAGATACAACAGAGTCTCCTGGTCTTCACTTCTGAGTTTCCTACACAACTTTTGAGGATTTTGATATTCTAGGGTACAGTCAGCAGGCTAGAATTGTGACCGCAACAAAGAAGATGAATTATAATGCAAAACATTTAAATTTATAAATTTAGCAGATGTTTTTAAATATTAGGGGGGAGATATGCTCACATTGTGTATTTCATTGTGGCTCTCTCTTATAAAATAATGGAATGTATTAATATTATATGTATTTTTTCACAAATTATTTATTTAAAAAATGCAAAATCACATATGGCCATTTTGAATATTTTAATATCCAAGATATGAAAACATATTGCTTTTTTAACGACATAATTCACGCAAACATTAAAATTCGGTCACTATTTGCTCACCTTGGTATTGGTCTAAAGCAGTGTGATCATTTTTCTTTTTCTGAGCATAAAAGGAGAAATTCTGAAAAATGTTCTTCTCACGTTTGATCATATAATGTCACCGTGACAACACACATACTACGTCGCAGATATGTAACCTACTTTTTCTAGGTTAGGTTTTGGAATTTTAAGTTTCAGTTAAAGTGGTCTGTGGTGAAAATCCAGCTTTTAATGTTGTTTATGTGTGTATGTGGTGTTTTAAAAACGCTTTAAGACAAACAATGTGCAAATTCATAAGTCGACAGCATTGCTCAATATTTCCTCCTTAAAACTGCAGTGAACCAAAGACAGTCTCAAAAACACGGTTTGAAATCGCTGGTGTTTCTGACGTCACAAACGACCTTGTAACCAATCAGATCAACGTGTGATCGTCAACCAGTGGATCTCTGAGCTGAGTGAGTGAGTGGAGGCGGGGCTCATCTGCAAATTCATAGAACCGTGTATACTAAGGCTGCGTTTACACTTGGCATTAACATGCGACCTGTATCCGGATGTTGTCCACATACACATTGAAAAGACAAGTGTAAAAGCGCTTCTAATGGGAATGTTATCTGATCAGCGTGTCCAGGTTCAGAGGTAGTCGAGGACGCATTGTGATCGGATCTCAGTGTAATGTAAACGCAATCCAGCCATCGTGTCTGCATTTACAGGTGGACGTCACACAAACCCCCCCACTGTCATTATTCAGTGATTAATTATAATCATTATAGCGATTATAGCGCATTGCCAAACTACAGCTTTGCTGAGACTGAAGAGATGAGCAAGTGTGCGGAAGCAGTCACCTGTAGCAAACCAATACAGGGCCACAGAAACTCTGTTCTCCACAGGAATTGCTGCTCGTAGCTGTGTGCTTTTGCGATACAGTCGAGTGCGAAGTACATCGCAAATATACTGAAATGTTTGCCTCAAAGAAAGAACGCGCATTTTTCCCACCACAGCTGGCAACGTTCTCGGATACGTTTCTCTGTACCGTTTCCATTACGGCATCTATCCACATTATTAGTACCGTATTTTCCGCACTATAAGGCGCACTTAAAAGCCTTTAATTTTCTCAAAAAACGACAGTGCGCCTTATAATGCGGAGCGCCTTATATATGGATGGTGCACACACGTTCACCAAGACGGGGAGACAGCGCCGGGCGACTTACGCCACTATCTGCCAGTGGATCGTGGATGCCTGGGCTGATATATCAGTCTCCTGTGATCCGAGCTTTCACGAAGGCAGGAATAATCTCTTTATTCAGCCGGCTCACATACCCGTATTTACTTCCTGTTTTCGGCCGAAGTCCACAGTAGTTGATTGTCGAGTTCGCGCGCGCGCGATCAAACCTCCTCCGTGTGTTCAACATCTGATTCGGATGAACTATCCGAACTATCCATTTGAGCTGATATTCTCAGCACACCACACAGCACCGTCATCGGCTGACAGTCTGAGTCTCCACTGTTGCTTAGTTACCAATGATCGCGCGCGCACTCGACAATCGCCTACTGTGGACTTCGACCGAAAACAGGAAGAAAATACGGGTATGTGAGCTGGCTGAATAAACATCATTTTTATTCATATCTTTCACATTTACTGCAGTCAGATTCACCGTGTTCACTCACATGGTTGTGCACTTGTAATGACACATTAAGGTTGTTAAGAGGCTAAAAGCAGGTTTAAAACTTTCCCCGTTTAAGTCAACAGGGTGCAAATTTTAAAAAGAGGATAACACGGTGTAGGCAACACCGGTTTTTGTCGTTGTTATCTGTACTGACAGCACTCCAAATTTACAAAAAAGTGAGCTCAATGTTAAAATTGACCGGAGTTTTCCTTTAACGTTTGAACAACGTTACCATGGGAGTGAACGGAGTTGTCAGAACGCTTAATAAAGTTTGACTTTATCTGACTGTTTTGTTGACATTTGTTGATATCTAGTGGATGCATAACGCAAACCCAGTCAAACGTTTGACTGCAGTATCTTATGCGCCTTATAATCCGGTGCGCCCTATATATGAAAAATTTTCTAAAATAGGTCATTCATTGAAGGTGCGCCTTATAATCCGGTGCGCCGTATAGTGCGGAAAATACGGTACTTGCAGCCATCCTCCTCATTTTGCGAGACTTGTAAAATGTCCCCCGACTGAAAACTGTTTTTAAAAGAAAACCCATCACTTCAGGTCGACTTTGAACCAGAGCCATCCTTTTTTTTCTTTTCTTTTTTTTCCGCGGGAATGCGAGATCCGATCAGTTATCCAGATACAGAAGCCACTTGATGTGAACAGGTGTAAACGCACCGTGTCCTGATTGGCTTATGATCCGATCTGCTTGATCGGATCACGCTGATCGCATGTTAATGCCAAGTGTAAACGCAGCCTATATGAGGCAAGGGTGAAGAGTTACATTCAAGCTATTTTAAGGCATGAAGAATTTTTTTCAAGGAAAACGCTTAGATATGCCATTTTGGTGATCAAAGATAAGTTTTAAGGGATAAAATGATTGACTACAGGGGGACTTTAAGTACAATAGGGATGGTCTGCATACTAAAATTAGGTGTACAGTTTCCGTTTAGGCCTAATGTTGTTTTCAGATGACTTGTTATTAGTGCTGGGCCGTTATCGCAATTCTAATGCGTAGTATGACGCCGCGCCTACTGTCACAGATCGCGCAGTAGGGTATTTTCCTGTCAGGGACACAAGGTTTACTTTTACTTTGTTACGTTGGGCGACGTTCCTCTCGTTACTTTATTTTAATGCAATACGTTGTTAAATGAGTTTATTCCAAGCGCGCTGTGTCCTTTGTATGGGCATGAGCGATGCTCATTTACAAATGAATCACTCTTTTGAGTCGATTCTGTTCAAAGACTTCATCAAACAAGTTGTCAGATGATCTGTCTAAATCGGTTCGCGAATCAGTTGATCTGTTCAGTTCCTCGCGCACTGAATCGTCTGAAGTGCTTTCAATTCACACTCGGAGTCGAAACAGGAAGATTTAAGAGCATCAAGAGCGTTGGATGAAGTGGCCGATCTACAGTCTAGTCTAGTGAATGCAAATCTGCAAATGCATCATATTTTTGCCAGCGATGAAGATCTTTATTAGTTGAACATCTTCGTAAGCTGTCTGTGAATGAATGATTCCACAGGACGATACATTCGATTTCATTTCATTCAGGTAATACATTGTGTGTGTATTGCGCGTGTATTGCGCAGTGGCATAATCACACGAATAGTTTACATTGATTGAAACTAATTTGTTTAAAAATGAGGCTATTGCAGTAACAAGGCAGGTTCACATAAAATTCTTATGACATATGATGACATTATTTTTTGATCTAACGAGCATTGGCGATGCAAAAACGGACTGTCCTGCGTATTGTTTTTTCTTCTTCCAATTAGCCTACTATGTTAAAAAAAAGGACGAAAACATGTTACTTGTTCAATTAATAAACAGTTTGTTTGATGACAAATTGCTAAAGATGAAATTGGCCTCCCTTTCTGTCATTGCGTTTTTTTTTGTTTTTTTTTACGATATTCGACTTTTGCTCCTCGATTGTCGAATGGCATTTTTGGCAGAAATGCACATCCCTACGCGAGGCAAACTATTCTCAAAGACTTACTTTTAGTCATTATTTGGGTAGCACACATATTCTGAATGCCTTCGGGAGAATTCAAATGAGCCATTTTAATCTAGATTAATCTAGATTAATTTCAATATTAATCTAGATTAATCTAGATTAAAAAAATTAATCTATGCCCACCTCTACTTGTTATATAAGTGATAGTTCACCCAAAAGTAAAATGCAGGTTCATGTTGATCCAAACTTGTATGACTTTCTCTCTCCTGTGGAATACAAAAGAAGAAATTTGAAGAATGTTTAAGCTTTTGTTCATGCAGTGAAAGTCAAAATGGGCATAAAGATAGCGTTAAAAAGGGATTCAAACAACTCCAGTTGATCCAAACTACTCCAGTGTTCTGAAGCAATACAATAACTTTATATGATGAACAGAGTAAAATTTAATAACTTCTTCACTCTCAAATTGAATCAAAACATTGACCAACTCATGTATACAGTCAAAATCAAGTTTGGTGATATGCCAGTAACATTAAACCTCATTGGTTTTAGCGCATCACTTGACTTAACATTAAGACACCATGACGTAAGCGCCATTGAGTTTTAATGTGAGTGACGTGTTGCCATATCTGAATTGGGCTCCGTACACAAGTTGATCAATGATTTGGTTTGTTTTTTAAGTTTTGGCTTTTTTTAAGAGTGGCTTTCTCTCTTTCTTGTCAATACAGTTGTGATGTCCCTGAATTACTTGTTTAGCATGTAATCTAATGGTGATTGAAATTAATCAATTGTGTGCTCCCTTTCTTTTACCACCTTTTTTAATTAAAGTTTAACAAATTACAAGGTGATGTTTGGTCCAATTAGACCCAACATATGATTCTGTGATTATTTACATTTCTCTTCTTTCTCTACAGATAGAAAATGGGGATGCTCTGTGTACACACTTTCTTCTTAATAGGAATAGCACTGACCTTTACACCCTCGTGTGACACATTCAAGCCCACTCAGAGGCCAAAGTACCAGTACACCAAGAAACCCCCTAGAGAGGTGGTCCAAACTACTGTATATGCAGCCAAGCCTACAGTCACAGCACGGATTGTGGACCACACCAAACCAAGAGAGCGCTTCCCTGCATACATCACAGAGAGCACAACAGTTCCTGCAGACAGCTATATAGACTACCCTACAGACACCACTGTATCTCCCACTGCAGCGAAAGACAATTACACGCTAGACTATAATGAATGCTACTTCAACTTCTGTGAGTGCTGCCCTCCAGAGAAAGGCCCACAAGGGTTCAAGGGAGACATAGGACTTCCAGGTCAGCCAAGTCAAGTCGTCCCTACACACATGTATCAAGTCATCCCTTTATACATGAAACTAACTAGCGTGTTGTTTACTATAGATGTGGTGGGGGGAAACCTGGGATCTGTAATTTTGTTTAATTGTGTATTGTAGGCACACCTGGGGAAAAGGGAACACCTGGACCTAAAGGTCTACCAGGTCAAATAGGGCCAAAGGGCATTTCAGGATCTAAAGGGGATAAAGGTAAGTACTTGAGCAGTAGATTACATAAATTATCCTTATTCAGTCATCAGATATAACATTGCAGTCCTATTGCAATGCAACAGGAGAGAAAGGTGATCAAGGAAACATAGGACTCACAGGATCTCCAGGCAACCAGGGAAAGGCTGGAATGAAAGGTGAACATAATTATCCATGGAAATATAAATGTTGGACCAAACAACATGAATATAAGAAATCAATGTTTTTACTCAACAGGTGAGATGGGTATTAAAGGTGAGAAGGGTGCAGCTGGACTGACAGGATTCAAAGGTTCTAAAGGGGAAAAAGGAGATCCAAATCTGAATGTGTCAAAGGGTGATCAGGGAGATCCAGGCAAAGATGGACCACCAGGACCCCAAGGCTTGACTGGTGAAAAGGGTGAAAAAGGGGATAGAGGAGAGTGCGGGTTACTTGGTGACAGGGGCCAGAAAGGTGAGCAAGGTGACCCTGGACCACCAGGTGTGCGTGGAGACCCTGGTCCATCTGGGCAACATGGCATGCACGGAACTCCAGGCATTGCCGGAGAACGTGGAGAACCAGGAATTCCTGGAGCAAAGGGAGAGCCAGGAGCACGTGGGCCAACAGGAACCAAAGGTATAAGAGGTCTAAGGGGAATAAAGGGTGACCGCGGCCCCCAAGGGAAACGTGGAGACAGAGGCCTACAGGGAATGAAGGGTGCTATGGGTCAAAGTGAATCGAGAGTACGTTCTGCTTTCAGCGTTGGCCTATATCCCAGCAAGTCTTTTCCTCCTTCGGGATTTCCAGTTCGCTTCGACAAGATCTTCTACAACGGAGAAAACCATTATGACATTGTCACAAGCAAATTCAACTGCACCTACTCAGGAGTTTATGTGTTCTCCTACCAGATCACGGTGAGAAACAAGCCACTTCGTGCTTCTTTGGTGGTGAATGGCGTGCGTAAGGTACGTTCGAGGGACACTCTACAAGGTCAAGACATTGACCAGGCATCCAATCTAGTGATCCTGAAGCTAGATGTCGGAGACCAGGTATGGGTAGAGACGCTAAGAGACTGGAATGGTGTCTACTCTAGCAGCGAGGATGACAGTACCTTCTCTGGGTTCTTGCTCTTCCCTGACTAACGCCCTCTCCATGTATAAACCAGGGCTAGACCTTGAACTGAACATTACATGATATGGACATGGGAGGAATTAGATTTAGCGTTGTTACCATAGAGAGAAAGAAGTGTACTGTTTAAATGAGCATCAGCCAACACTATTGATTCCATTGTGTTAACCACGCCAGAAAGGCTAAATTGATTTTTAAAATTAAATGTCTCATTTTGGGGAAAAACACCCAAAATACATAGGCTATCCAGCAAATTGTGCACAGTTTGTGTTTTAAGAGCGCTGTGGATCTCTTTACAGACAGTTCAGGACATTCAGTATATCTTAAAACTTTCTTATGAGAAAATAATTGTTTTCAATGAGATAATTAGTCAATTATTTTGTCTTTATTTACAGATCAGAGATCAGGCATTTTGACAACGAAAGGTTTGACTGAATGACATCATCACGTGCCATTTCAGCTTCTTTTTAAATAGTTACATATCAATGAGCCTCTAAGACAGGGTATATTGATTATTCCACTCAACATTTTCAAAGGAGGCATCGTTTCATAAACAGTTCATTACTCACAGATTCAACAGCATAAACATAAACTGTTACATCAAATCATATGTAATATATTGTATGAAACTTAAATCACAATGTAGGCTTTGGGTTGTTGGGTTTCTGAGCACTTAATAATAAAATCAAGCAAGGAATATCACTTTGATTAAGGCTTCACTTCCTCAGTTAAAATTATGCTTTTCTGAACACAAAGACAGACATGAAGTTTGATTCTTGTGTTTGACACGTCCTCAGTTTAAGTCCTGTTCCAAAGCCTAATGGGATATTTAAGGCAACTCTCTAGAGCTTTGGGATGGCTCAGCATCCTCTTTTGCAACATGTTTCAATTCCCAATGTGTAGTTTATGTGTTGGAGGATGAGTCAAGTGTTGTTCATGCAATAGTATTCCATAACTTTTACATGCAGCTGGGTGTTACATACTTGCCAACAATGACCTGCCCAGGCACAATCACCAACTGGGGAGTGTTCAACTTATCTTGTATTAAACATTTGACACATGCTTAATATTGCAAATTTTGTGTTATGAATTATGTAAAAACATAAAAGAGAAATATAAGAAATATTTTCTTATATCCCGGCACTGAATCTCAGACCCATCCTTATAAAAGTGACCCTGTTGCTACGGGACGGTTTTGAATGTGACACGCCAGTATGGCGGTATATTTTATTACTGAAGGTGCGGCTGGTATCTGAAGAGCACCCATCGTCTTGGAAGAAAAAAAGCCAGTATAACAAAGGAATATAGCTTTTAGCATGTTCAATAAACGCATGAGAAATATAGACAAGTGTGGCCAACTCTGCGGAAAGAAAGGACTCGCCCTCATGAACACTGGGATAATAGTAAGGTAATTTAAAGGTAAGAAGCTGTTCATGCACTATTTGGGATTGTCAGCACTATGTGAACCATCTCCTTTTGCTCAGTTTTTAACAAAAAGGAAACGTTCAAATCGCTTAAAACAGACGTGATAGCTGATTCGAACGAGTGATGTTCAATGGCGGCATCCATCTTTGTAATGTAGGCTAAAATCTGCTTCAAAATCCCAGCGCTGTCGTCATCGTGTAAGGCCCGCCCCAACGCTTCTGATTGGTGCCTCGATTTCGGCGGATTGGAAATGGGCTTGAATGAGCTCTTTGCCAGACTAACTTTCAAAGCAAATCTAAATTTGCCAGGAGGTTGTCTGGGTTTTCCCAGGCTAGTACACTTCAGAAACTTTTAATGTTTTAAAAGCTGTGCTTTTGACTACAGACAAAAGCTTTTTGTTTTCTGTAGCTTCTTTTTTTTAAATGTAGTGGCATTTAAAGCAGCACTAAGTAGGAATTCCGTTTTTTTGTCAAACAGTGACCCCTAGAGTCGCTGTGGAGTACTTGTACTGTCGTGAATTGCACACACGCAGAGATGGCTCGCACTCACGACCGGATCCCCTCCCCCTGTACACCGGTACCTGTTCAGTAGGATGGACGCTGTAACGAGTGGAAATAAGGTGTGGCCCCTTTAAGAGCTGCGCGCGCCCTGTTTAACTGTCGGTATTGTATGTGCGCCTCGAACACCACATGTATACGGTGCCGGGTTATTTCTGTTTGATGCTCATTTTATCAGATCTGTTTTTTGCCGTAAAGCAATTCGTTACCTCGCGAGACCTGATATCACACGATACTTCCTAACACTGAGGCCGACGGCCCACCGGCCCAAAGTTGCAAGGGTGGTTTTGCGGCTCACAGGCACCAGGGGGTGCGAGACGACCACCATTCAACACGAAATCAGTAATATAAACATTACAATGACTCCAACGCTGTTCGGTTAAGGTAAAAAAGTTACTTAGTTCACCTTTAAGTTTTTGTCCAAGTCAAGTCAATGGAGTTGGACAAAAACTACGATAAAACCTGTTGGAAAGCATCTTTTGCAGCGATTTTTATGTGAGCATATCAGTGAACACCCCAGACCACTCGGTGAGTTTCACGTCTTTGTAAACTAAAGTTTAAAGCGTTTTATGAAGGATTGTTCCAGTGCACCTATGCAACCATTGTGGAGGTGGGGGGTGTGCAACCATAGAAACCGAAATTTCTCGGGCCACACCAGCATGTGTCCAAATTTCCATCTTAACCGCTCTATTTCATCAGAAACGATCTTAAAACAGGGCTTTAAGTGTAAAATACCGAACTTGTCCTTTAATGCAAATTCCTTGTTATTTCATGCCTCCATTTGGAGGATGTTTTGTTTTGGTCTGAGTAATTAAGGAAAGATTGCATAAATGTGGAAATTGCAAATGGCATCAAAGTGCGTTTTCTTCTAAGTAAAAATACCAAATTCATAAAGTTGAAAACCTAAGAAGCGGTCACTTTAAGTTAGATTCGCTGCTGATGACATTTACATTACCAATGAGACAGCACCACGATTCTTCTGTTTTCTTGTCATGTCCCTATATAACTTACAAGGAACTGGAACTTCCCTTGAGTTCTCCATTTTCAATTTAGAATTAAAACCTTGTTTGCACACTCTTGATCACCCCCACCCACCACACACACACACACACACACACACACACACGAGTTGAAGTCATGTTGTTTGATGGCACTGCAGTGGGCTGGAAGTACAGACCACACACATTTGTAAAGAATCAAGCCTGTATTAGTACACGATTTTCGCTATGCATGTGTATCGAGCGAATCGCTGCACGGGCAAAACAACCTCCTAGTGTGGACAATATCGTTTATATTGATATATGCTTTGATGTTGCGAACACATCTGAAAAATAAGGAAGGACACGCAGTGAGCTGGTGCCGGATAACTGCACGATCCAAGCTGTCTTTATATGAAGCAACTAAATCATAAACCTATATGGCTGTGTTTGAAACTTACATTAAATGTAAACACGTGTTACATAACACATTTATGTGGTATACTATGTTTGAACAGCAGCAGACGGACACCTACTGAGCTGTCAATCAACCACTGCGCTAAAACAAGGGTTTGAACGTGCAGCTTTAAATATTACTGGAGAAGTAATATAAATAACTGGAGAGGCACATTCATATCTGTCTGATATGAAAATGAGGTGAAAGATCATGTGAAACTTATCTAAAGTTCAGTCATTACAGGTTCTCCACCAAAATTAACAGAAAGAGAGAGAAATGGAGCATTTTCAGCATGTTGCCCCTCTTTCATTTGAATTTATTGACCAAAACACATACTTGGTGTAAACAGGGCTGGAGATCAAATCAGACACCAGTGTTTTCTGTTCCTTCAGTAGCTCATTTTATTTGTGATTTTTAAATAGCATATTTCTGGCTCCATACCTAGATCATTTAGATAAATAAATGAGGTTACAATCTCTCCACAATGGGTCATTACATATACCACAGAAAAATGTAACTTTTGCATGCATAAGCAATATTTTTCATAGAACAAGTGGTCAAAAAGTAGCTTTAAAATAAGTAATTGTTTAACTCTTTAAATCATAAAACTTGTTTTGTTTTTTATTCTGTAACAGCATTTCTTAAAAGTTAAATATGCAGAAAATAAATATTTGATTATATATATATATATTTTTTAGAAGTACTTTGTTAAAGATTAATTTGTTATATTGATTAAAGCCGGTGCCTATTAAACCACACCTGGGACTCAAGCTTTGCCTGTAGCAGAAGTATTGTTCAATCAATCCTAGCATAACCATGATCATAGTAAATATCACATGATCACAGTGACCAATCCTAGCATAACCCTGATCATAGTAATATCACATCACAGCAGGTTTGAGTGACAGGGCAGATGTATAATCCTAAACCACACCAGTTCTGTCCTCGTTTTCCACTCTCAGTTCAAATGACCAATAACGGCAATAATAATGGCCAGGAAACTTGAAATAAAAAACGGAAATAAATCATATACTACTCTAATAAGTTATGTATTCTCATACTTCAGTGGCTTGCATAAAGCATTAAAAACAGTGCAAAAAACGATGGTCATTTATGAATCATCTGTCTAAATTCACACTCAATTACAACAAGTGATCATAAATTTAAAAACAAGAGAATCTATACATCTATATCAGAGTGAACCTCTAATCAAAACATTCCCAGAATGAACAAAACGAGAAGAAATATAAATAATAAAGAAATTAAACTTATTTTTGGGACTGTTAAGATTTTTTGGCATTGTAACATAATTTTCAAAACAACATTAAACAGTTATTTATTCAGTCTCATTCTCATTACTGCAATATTTATATTTACACAAATTAAATGCAGCACAGCACAAACCACCCTGATGTATAAATACTTTATAATGTCACGTAATATTTTTCTCACAAAAAATCGCAAAGGTCATAAAACTATACGTAAAATTCTGGCGTTTTGACTTTGGAGTGAGATATAAAGCGCACGCGCCAGCCGACCCCCTTCAGAAGTTGATCCAGACACTAACCTGCGGGAGAGAGCGGCCCGTGAGCGTCCGCTAGCTGGCGAACCTCTGCGGCTGCAGCGGAGGAGGAAGGCTATCGCCACCGATGTTGTCCGAGTCGATGGTGGAGGAGGCAGAGGCGTGTGTCCGGACAGGAGCCGCGTCCAAAATGCCCATTACAGACAGCTCCTGGCCTTCGCTCCACTCGATGAGGTCGGCCTCCTCCGGCCTGCGTTCCCCTGCCGGCGGGGCGCTCGTGCTGCTCGCGGAGCCGTTCTGTGAGCTGTGGCCAGACGAGGAGGCCCTGGGACCCGATGGAGACGCAGAACCAGACATGTAGAGCTCAAAGTCGTCCTGGCTCAGGTTCAGCGACTGCGCGTCGAGCTTCTCGATGAACGCCACGGCACAGCACTGCAGCATGATCACAGAAACACACCTCTCCTCAACAACACGCGTGATTCTGGAGCAAACACCGCTAGACGACACGTGCTTCTAGTGGCGTGATGACCGATCTATGAACTCTCCCTATGGAGGATCCCTTTCCCACTCTACAGATAAAGCGTTGTTGAAAATCCGGTTCGCGTACCCCGAAGTGATAAAATAAAATTCTGTATCAAATTTATAGGCAAGACAAGTAGTTTGTTTAGGCATGGTTTGTAGGGAAATTACAAACCTGCGCACACATATTCAAACGAATATAACTATAGAATCAATTTTTAATGCGCATGTGAGTGCCATCAGGTCACAGGTTCACGTTTAAAGTCTGTTTAGAGAGAACGCCGTCGTCTTAGTGGCCCCTAATGTAGTAACAAATGATAATTTTGCTGGAAGTGAATCAATCAAAACCAACTTTAGCCGGAAATAACATTATTCAAAATCGCTATAAAGCCAAAACAATCTCTGTTACCGTAAATTGTATGTTTATCTCTGTAAAGCTGCTTTGAAACAATCTCCATTGATAAAAGCGCTATATAAATGAAGATGACTTGACTTGAACTCTTACCAGGTTAGTGAAGTAGTAGCCGTCCTCTCCGCTCATGATGCGGCTGGGGTTGCAGTAGCGGGTGATGTACTGGATGTTGGAGTGCAGTCGGGGCGGGTTGGCCTTCAGCACGATGTAGACGAGCGCGGGCAGAAAGTCGTCCGCGGAGGCGGCAGCTTTCACACTGCCCTGGACGGCCGTCAGGATGAGTTTACTACACCGGGTGACGCACGCCAGCTTCTCCTTGGGAACCTTCCTCGAGTCCAAGTCGATCAGGTCTGTTCACAAAAACATCATACAACTGTCTCCATTTCATTTATTCCTGTGATCATCAAAGCTGAATTTCAGCATCATTACTCGAGTCTTCAGTGTCACATGATCCTTCAGAAATCCTAGTATGATTAAATAAAAGTATCGATTTCTTTTTATTTCTTTTATGTGTAATGTTACAAATTTCAGATAAATGCTGTTCTTTTGACTTTCTATTCATCAAAGAATCCTGATTTTCTTTAGGGTGCAACAAATTGATAGATTTAAATATCCAAACACCTCTAGAACAGTGTTATTTTGTTGACCTGTGCACTTACATATTCCTAAATGTTTCCAACAATGTTTAAATCCACAGAAATCAGCTATTTTAACCAGTGTTACGGACCGTGTCCTTGCGTCGCCTGTCAGTAGCCGTGTGTTTCCATTACCCTTCAAATTGCGCAAATTGAAATACGCCCAATGGAAACACGTTAATTTCGCAAAAACTCTTATACATCACAAAAAAGTTTACACGCTCGCATTGAGGTGGTTTTTCAGGCAATTCGATAAAGGAATATTTCGCAAGACTGCAATGGAAACTTTTTTTCCGCATTTACAGTCACCTGACGTACGTAACAGGCGGTCACTCTTTAAAGAAGGCGAGCTGTGTTTGGACAGAAGACGAGAGCGAGTTCTTCATTAAACTCATAAAAGACAAAAGTATTACAGGAATACTGGATTCTAAACAACAAAGAAATGCCACAATTTATCAAGTGGAGAAACTCCTCATATGTGCCACTCTCAGTTTTAAGGTCTTTCCTTGCCATTAATGCTTGGATAACACACACACACGTCTCCTTCCACTAACAATAATGGCCAGTGCGGCGGCTGTGATATACATAAACCTACCAACATCCGTCACCATGACTTTTGACATCGGTTAATGGAAACAGCATCAATTCGCAATAGTTTTTTATCGACATTTCGAAAATATCGCAAAAGTTTTGCGTAAAATCTGTAATGGAAACGCATTCCATTTATATGTTATAAAGTCTGTGTTATAAAGCGAGTTTCATCTTAAATCTGTGAGTGTGTAACGTCTGTACCTGTTATGGCTCTCTCCACACTGTCCGATACTTTAGGGATCTGCTCGTCCAATGGGACACACAGCATCGCAATGGACACCCAGTGCAAAGCCCTGAAACACACACACACACACACAACAGTGTTAAACTTTACTTTTCACATTTTGGCTGTCCCTGAACCCCTGGCTCTTTTGTATTCTTAAGTAAATGTTTAAATAAATAAATAAAAATAGCCCCAAAACCAACTCCGGACGGCTCCAGCGCACCTGATTCTCTTGCGGATGACCAGGTCCTTCTTCTCGTCGTCTGAGTGCTCGGGGCAGAAGAGCTGCTCATACAGGCGGCCCATCACAAAGCGCTCCACCTCCTCCATCACAGTCTCCATCACTTCTGGAGAGCCTGAGCACACACACACACACACACACAGCCGTCAGAGAGATGTGCATGTGTGTATGTAGAGCGGGGCTGGGTAAACTACGGCAGCGTTGGGGAATCAGCACTGGCAAGGGAGCTGTACGTGTTTCATTTACCGGTAGATAGAGTCCCTCACACCTACACATCATTCCTCATACATCACACAGCCCGCTTCATTAAAGTCCCCTGTAGTCAATCAGGTTATCCCTTAAAACTCATCTCTGATCACCAAAATGACATATTTTAAAAAAAAATCCTTGAAAAAAACTGTCTTCTTGTCTTAAAATAGCTTGAATGTAACTCGACACCCTTGCCTCATTTAGTATGCGCGCTCCTATGAATATGCAAATGAGCCCCGCCTCCAGTCGACAGAAGCGTTCAGTTCAAATAAACAAGATCAATGTGATAATCAATGTTTAACTCGGTCTCCAGACTCACACTGATGCGCTGCGGCACTCACACAAACACAGGTTTGTAGGATCACACTGCAACATTATTTAAAGTCTCATTTAAAAACTGTGAAAAGACAAAAAGCGAGTTTGTGACGGGTCATGTTATGCTGGATTTGGCATGTCGCACCTTTAAAGTTGGTCTGTAGGTATTCAGACATGTTTTGATAGAAATCCTGCACAGATTCTGAGAGATCGTCACAAACCACAGCCTACAACGCAAACACAAACAAACACACATGAAGATCAAGAACAACTACACGCTGTAATATGATCCACATGGTCTGGTTGTAGCAGAACGCATTGTGTGGCAAAAACAGTGGGAAATATCATTGTGGATGTTTTCACCTTTCTGCGTGCGATGTTCTCCGTGAAGGCATGGCACTGCTTGAAGATGTCATATCCAGGAGGTCTCTGCAAGGTCTTGAGGAAGTCGATGAAGGTCTGCGTGACGTGGTCTGACTCTCGGCCGAGGGACGAGCTGTGGCTCGCGGGCGTCTGTGCGGATCCTGCGTCTGTCAAACACATTACAGACCAGCTGATTCTGACTGACTCCATTCTGCATTTTATAACAGCGTTCATAAGGCGTTTTGCCGGGAGCAGCAGCTCATTTGCATTTAAAGGGACACACACAAAAACAGCTTGTTTTTGCTCACCCTCTAAAAGTGACGAATTTAACCTGCTATAATGAATGATCTGTGGGGTATTTTGAGCTAAGACGTCTCACACACACTCTGGGGACATCAGAGACTTGTTTTACACCTTGTGAAAAGGGCATTATAGGACCGCTTTAAGACGTGATTCAGTGCGGTCTGTGAACTCGTGGTGGCGTACCTCTCCGTGCGGGTGTTTTGGGAGCGGGTGTGAAGAGCCTCTTCACCATGGGAACGGTGTGTGTCCTGGAGGACGCGGGCTGTGCTGGCGCCCCCTCCTGGCTGCTGGCGTACGCTGCTGCTTCCTCCTCTCTCTGTAACCTGACACACACACACACACACAGCAGCTGAGCATAACTCAACAGAGCCAAACACACACACACACACACACACGCACTCACCTCTCGGCCAGCGCCCGGTCCTCCTCGATCTGCTTGGCTCTCGTACACTGGTTCTGCTCGCGCCAGCATTTGGAGCAGTGGCCCTGCCAGACGGCGTTACCATAGTAACCGCACCCGCT